ATAGATCTCTGCGTTAGGATGGAAGGAGGTTGCAGGTCTGTGACGGCGGCGGTGGGAGGGGGGTTGCGATGACAGGAGGTTGTGGAGGGGGAGGGGCGGTGACATGAACGTCGGCAGTGGCGCTCGAGAGTGGTCGGCGGTGACAAGAACGTCGGCAGTGGCGCTGGAGAGTGGTCGGAGGTGAAGTGCCGTTGGGTTGGCAACACCCGTAGATGGTTCATGGGGCTGGAGAGGGAAAATAGGGCTGAGGGGTATAATGGGAAAGTCAACACAATTTTCATCACACATAAATTTGCGTGCCGGGTCAAACCGGGAAGTTCTTACTAATTCTTACCATACCTATCAGATTACACTTTTTTACTCATAATCTATAATGACTAGCCATGCATTCCATGCTTGCACAATTCACGGAAGAACTCCTACACAAATTCTCATTAATACTAGGGAGGCAATGGAAAAAACAACAAATGAATATTTACAAGAGAAGAGGGAATTGAATGAAAATATAGAACCAAAAATAATGTTGAAGTTTGATAGTAGTAGTACTTTGTTGGTATCATTATTGCTGGTGGCATCACTTTCATCATGGCTGCCAATGTCGGAGTGTGGAGGAGGGAAGGCGGCGGCGGTGGCGGCAAGGAAGGAGGACATTCCATATATCAAATGCCAAGTCTGTCAAAAACTTGCCATTCAATTGTTCCATCAAGTTCACACCAAACAATCACAAATCTCACCCAAGAAGGTAACTCTAGTTAGTCCGAGTCGTCCAGTTTGACTTGAAATAGTTTGACTTTTTCAAGTCGAACAATACAAATTTTGAATCTCGATCCAACAATAATCTTCCTGTTGCGCAATATGCTATTTTCAAATATTTTTATATGAAACATCGTATGGAATTTAAAAAAATAAATATTACATATTTAAAAACTAAATAAAAATATCTACAAAATTAGAGATGACATGACTATATTATTTAATCAAATGAGCAACGAAAATACGCCAACAAAGTGAATAAAATTTGACCATATGAATAGTGAACAAGAATATTATTGCTGGGCGGGTGGAGTCTATCGTATATTACGAGTAGTATAAATTATTTTATTAGATTTATCTTGTCAAAAATTTTCAAAATTCTATTTCATTGTGTTAATATGCGATACCAAAGTGAAAGTACGCAATTGATGATAAAAATATACTCAGACTGACCGGAAAAAATCAAACTGGACAATACCTATGTTTTTTAACCATCAATTAACCAACTTACCGTCAAAGCATATACTCCCTCCGTCCCAAAAAGTTTGTTACGTTTAGAAAAAAACTACGTCCCGTAAAGTCCGTTACATTTCTATTAAAAAACCACTTTTACCCCTTACTTTTTCATACCATATCTATCACATCATACCTTTTTCCTAATAATCTACCCATCACATCCTACTTTTACCCATCACATCAAGGGTATTTTTGGAAAGTCAATACTAAAATATCCCTCCCTTAATTTCCCAAAAAGTCAAACCGTCCCATTCTTTTTGGGACGGAGGGAGTACTATTTTGTAAATTTATCTCCTCATTTAATTTCTAACTTTTTATTTATCTTGCACATGCTATAAAATATATGTAATAAAATATACTATGTAATAATTTGATTTCAGATTTCAGAGTACGAGATAATTGAGATTTCAGAAAGTCTTTGTAATCTAGAGAAACAAGAAGCTCATTGGATTCTCAAAATTGATATTGTAGAACAAGGGGATGGATTGGCGGTAATTAATTGATCACATATATCTACTTTTTCATTATTTTACAACTTATTACAGTACCATTTTTATATTGGTTTTCTTCTTTTTTTTTGTTGCTAATTTTGGTTAATTTTATTGTCCATGGTCAGCTTATTGAACAAGACATGGAAGGAAAATGTCATTCAAAATGCAAAACCATTGAACGTGCTTGTCAAGAAGTAAGATTTCTTGGATGATTTTTTTTAAAATCTCACATCATAAAAATTAGTAAGATTTTGTTGTTTAAAGGTGAGATTACAATCATCTTTGCATTGTTTTTCAGGTCATGGACTATTGTGATACTGATGTAGCAGAGTATTTGTACAATAACAACAATCTCGAGCTTGATTCTCTAGTAAATTTTCTCTGCAAAGACCTATCCAAAGCATGCAACAAGACGCCGCCACCCCTTCCTAAGGTAACTACTTCTCAACGTGAGCTCAAATCTCTCTTGAGTTTTGTGGAAAATGTAAATAGAAAGAGAATAGGAATATACAAATAGAACGGGCATACCCGATCTAGGAATGGGAGCAACCCTTCCACTACATCAAGCACCTCAACGTGACACCCTCATACATAAAAGGGGAAAACCAACCCCAAAACCAAGGCACACAGGCTAACCCAAACTAAAGAGTAAGATGAACATTTGGCCACACACAGCCTAAAACACAATAAACCATAGTTTTGATATTACAAATCACACCATCAATATTAAGAGGCTTGCGCTCAAAATGGAAGGCATTACGTTGTTTCCAGATGAGGAATATGGTGTTTTAATATTGCTTAATATGAAAACTTGTTTTTTGTGGGTGTCAGATGAATCTTAGATAGGATTCAAATTTTAAATCTTTCGATATCACAACCCTCATAAAGAGGGTGCTTTGATATCTCTCACATCTCCCGACTATCTATTGTTGACTGAAAACCACCCATCACAACTACAACTACTGCTGACCGCCACTATTACCATCGTCAACAGCCACTATCACTAACAACCATCATTTTAGATCTGTCTAAATATTTTCATTTCAAATTTTAGAACTCATATCATTTCTTACAAATTATAACATTCATATCATATCAACCATGTTTCACTCACCACTTATGGAACTTTGCATTTCAATCAGGATAGGGAACCGGGAGAACCTTTCGTTCCTAAACCCGAGGAAGATGTCGAAATGGAGAAGATACTAAGATCAATGCAGGTATTCGTTGTTGTTGGCTCGATGCCACCACATGAAAAACAATAAAATCCATCTTTACTTCGACCTTTTCCTCATGAGAATTTGCGGTTATTTGTTGTTCTTTCAGGGTATGAGTATGAATCCTTGGGGAGCACAGGACATGAGAATGTACTCCCCAGAAGAATTAACACGCTATGGCAATGGAGATGAGGATTAGAATTGATGCACAATCAATACTTCCGCAAGGATTTTCGGTGAATTTCAAGTGTTTGGGCAAAAAGTTATAAGTAACATACTTGCAGTCTTGGACATAAATTGGCAAAGACAAGACAAGCCATGCATAGAAATATGGCTACCATGGAAATTAGTCATGAGCTAAAATGCAAATACTTTAATTGGTTAATGCTTATTGTGTCAAGTACTTATGAGATACTCTTATAAAGTTAACATAATATTAATACAACTTTTGCATATACTCCATATAACAAATTATTACCAAGAATATACAACTTTTAAATATATATTAGAAACTTTTTGACATTTCCTTTGCAGTTTTATAATGATATTTTTGTAAATACAACTTATAAAGATATAAAGTGTAAAAAAAGATATAAAAAAACAATAAAACACCGTTAAGAAAACTGCTAGAAAAGAAAACAGTATACAACAACGTACATCAAAATGGAATACGTAGGAAACAATACACTATTTTTACATAAGAGTGCATCATTTGAAGAAAAAAATTCCTTTCTCGGCGGTTCAATAGAGTTCGAACCATTTTTCGTGGGTCGACTTAGGCCAGTTTTAGGCTCAGGTCAAAATTTTTTGTTCAAAGCTTGCGATTACCGGGTCGAGTCTCGTGTCAGTCAAAACAAGGTTGGAATAAATTTTGACAGATATAATCACACCAAACCAAACAAACACAATGTATACACTCAAGAGTGTGAGGAGTTTAATTATTGCAACAGCCACAGTAAGCCACATAATTCTCACTTCCTCGGCTTCAAAAAAAATTTCAGGGAAACAATCTTGCAATGCAACAGATCACAATCAACATTCGAATCATCTAAACCAAAACATAAAGATCGTACCTATCAATAGATCATTTTCAAGGATAGTATCCCGTGAATGTAAATCCTCTTCCGGCAATCTCTCCAGCACAAAACCATGCAAAGCACTCTAGACCAAATAAAGCTGCGATACTGGCATGCTCAACCTTCAAGTCTTGCCTGTTCTTCAACATGTTCTTCACGCAATCGATCTCCTTCCAAAATGCGTCATAACGTCCAGGAATACTGTACATAACCAAAGGGTGAGGAAAGCATATACTGGCAAAAATCAACAAATATTGAAAGGTGAATGATACACTAGTAGGCATGCCACTAAGTCGTATTAAAAAATCACAATTTATGCACCAATTGATAAAATACACAAAATATAAGCTACCAATTGAACAACTCAGTATTTATCAATAAATATTTATTTTAATTGGTTAGACTAGGCCTGAAGCTAGAAAATATACATCCTATTACAGAGTTAAAAATATCTGCAAAAGATAACATAGTAACAAATTTTAATATCAGCCTTCAACTAGGAAGCAGCTTGGACTGATAATAAAGACAGGCTAGTGGTGACAAATAGATCAGTAGCTTAAAGATATGAACCAAGTGCCATTTGGTGAGTAACTAAAAACGGCACACTTCTTTGAGTCCCCAATGGTTGAATTGTTGAAAGGGTTGGTCGATACAAAAAAGTTGCTACTTTTGGAGCCTTCTGACAAGACGGGTACATTCCCCATGCTGCGGTCCAATCTAAAGAACTAAAGTGAACTAGCGATGTGATCGAGTGACAAACAAGGACTTAAGAACCACTGACAACCCTCGGGAAGAGGTTATGTTGTTCCCATTCCGGTTCTTAAGAAAATAAACTGTGGGAGACAGGTAATATGCCCGACACAAACCCGAACAACCACAACTACGTCATTTTAGTTCCCTGAGTGATTGTGGCACACCAAGCAGCAAGGAAATGGCATCCCATGCTCAAGTCAACTTTAAAAATATCATTCAAGAAATCACAAACGGAAGGAGAAGCTTCTGCATATTAACACAGCATATAGTTCCATCACTTCCATAAAGAATTCACAAACCCAAGAAGTTAAAACATTTTCATCTACAGAGTACAGAGTATTAAATGATTTTTGGAGTGAATCTGTAGTTTTAAAGAACCCTCAAAAATTCAACACTTAGAAAGTAATCTTTGAAGAGTCAAAAGACATGTTGAAAGCTTGGACATCTTTAAACGTCATCCAGTTTATTGTGAATATGAAGATAACAATTGTTGATAAGATCTCACATCACAAAATGAAAAAACTGCTGTAAAAATTAAGTGAACAAAGCAATGAGTCAACTTGACACGAGAAATGGCAAAAGGGCTACCAACACATGTTTCATCAGAATCACATTACAACACCGAATATGTCAAACACTACATTTTGATTCCTTTTTCAACTTCATCAAAACTAATCTCAAACACTTTGAAACTAATCAATTGACCCCCATCAACACAAATCTGATTCAGAATCATGGACTTAGAATTAGATTCATCTCTTGGCCAAAGGTCTTCTTAAATATAGTTAGATAATCAATCACATTCTCTAGTGAAAGAAACGGAATTGTTTCCCCACTCGCATACAGCCAGCCATAAAGAGAGAAAAAAAGACGCAGAAAGCAACCTGGCAAGACGAGTGTAGAAAAGCTGTTTGGATAACTCATTACACTTCTCGACAGTGGATGGCTCAACAATATACTGTTTGTTCTGCTCCAGCGTCTGCTTGTAGAAGGACGAACTATTCTTAGCAACAAACCTTGTCAACTCGCAAGCCTTTGCAGAAACTTGCTTAATCTTGGATGCCATTTTTGCCCCTAAACAGAAATTGAAGCAGACTATACAATTCATCAGAGAATACATTTGCAGAACCAAATCGTACTCACATATGCTAATCATCCAAAAACAAAGTATAATGCGGTGGAATATTCCGGCAAAATCACGAAACACTTCATTTCGCATAGTAATCAGACGAATAAATTACTCAAGCCTACAGAACTCAAAGAGCGAACGCCATTATCAGCTAAATAAGTCAAACAAGAATCTCAGTACTCCATCAAAAACCCTAAGACAGAGTACAAGACAATGCATCTCGAGTAATTCCGTGAAAAATTGGATTTGCAGATACCAAAAAAATAGAAAAAATGAAGCTATAGTTCTACCTGATCGTAACCCTAATCCGCGGCGACGATGGAAGATCGGAGGTAAATCGGCCACCGAAAGAAGAAGCAGTCTCACTATTCCACTGGCTAATGGTCCACAGATTATAGAGAGGCCTTGCTTTGCTAGGAAAGTGGGATAACACAAGTATGGACCCGGCCCAAATTTTATAACTTTAATTATCTATTAAATAAAAAAACTTTACATATCAATATATATCATTATAAAAATGATTTTAAAAAATTTATCTTATAAACTTTTTCAATATACCATAAGGTTAATATGACACCCAAAATGAGTGTCATAACTATTTTCAAAGTATCACTTAATAAAGTACGGAGTATCAATTTATTCATACTTTCAAAGTATTACGGAGTACTTGACTTTATTTCAAGACATTCATTATTAAGGCCTCAAATGGATTCATCAAATGATCAATTCTCATAGAATTGTTCATTTGTTTGGATCTCAAAGTCAACAAAATTTGAAATGAAATTAAAGGAGATGAGTTCGAATTGAATCAGGGTGGAGAATCGGGGACTAAAAAGGATAAGAACCGTCACTTTTTCGAACGAATCACTATAAGAGTCTCAATTAGACGAGTGTCATAAAATGACGTTCAAGATGGGTGTCATTATGACATTGCCGTTCATCAAATGATATATTCTATTTTACTTTACTGCCCATTAATCTATGGACATCATTTAAAAAACATCTTGATTCACAATCAATGGATGATTTATTCTTGGTACAATCGATAGATGATTATCACATTAGTAGTAACTTTTTTGTGAAAAGTGAAAGATATATGAACAAAATTAAGTATTCTTTAGAGGAATCATTAGCATATCATATAAAACATCTAAAAATGTGATTGTATGTACAAGTCATTTACACATATTCTAAATCACAAATCCATTTTCTTTTTTAAAGAAAATGAAACATTTATTTTAAGACTGAAGAAAAAAAAGTGAGACAATTATTATGGTTTGGATATATGCCTCTATAAGAGCAACTACAATGGGTATGGTATATTATGGTAGTGTAAAAGTTATTTTACACTATCAACAGTGTTTTACACACCCACTTTTTTTATCCCATCCAACCATACCTTCTATATAATACAATTTTATAATATTTTATTATTTTAAGTTACTTATTCTTAATAATTATTTTTAATTCATAGTTTAATTATAACCGTATTTATTGTGTATATAATCCAATCAATCTATTATTAATTTTTTTAAATATTATTTAAAATCTAACATTTAAATAATTATTAGGATAGTTTAGAATAAAATTTAAAAGAATATCCTATCAAGGTCTTTTATAAATTTATATTAATTTTTTTTAAATATCCTTTGTAGATATGTTTTTTTCAAGATGGGATATCTACACTCCTTATCTGAAAATCTATATCTTTGATAAAAAAAAATCTTGTTAGAATATCTTTTAGGATAAATTAGAAATTTTTTACAGCCTTTTAGAACAAAAGGGGTTGAATATTGTCTCATTTCACATATTTTCTACATCTTTTACGCAGCCTCTCTTGATAAAATTGAATAATTTAGGCTTCTTGAGAAATTTTTTACTTGAGAGAGATGTTACAGAGAGTAGCTCTTTTGGCTTGAAAAAAATTTGAGCAAATTGGGAGAAGGTTGGGAAGAAGAAATTGAAATAAATTGCCAAATAGGGAAAAATAAAGAAAAGAAGATAAAAGAGTGGAAGAGCAAGAAGGTATACACCATCTATAGTGATAGTGTAGATATAGGAGGTGTGAATTAATTTTTACACTAGTATTTTTTAGCATTAGGTATACCCTACCCCTTGGAGGAAATAAATTGAATAGTAAATTGTATAAATGGTATATTTTACCATATAGACATGGCATTGGAGTTGCTCTAAGTCACAAACAAAATGGATGAGGCAAAGATCATATACACACAAAAGAGTACAATTGCGCTCAAGACAAATAAATGTATAAAAATTGTAATCAAATTCATGAATACACAATAGAAATGATTCTCCGTTACAAGGTATATATACACGTACTTCGGAGTACAGGTTATTACTCGATTATTATTTGTTCTGGGAAAACAAATAGAATTAGTGTTACAAGTTACAACAAACTCACTGAGTTCAACCAAGCCAGGCGAGTCCACTCATCAAATCAATCCATCCCCCTTTTCCATTTGGAGTGCTTCCACTGGTTCATCAGAGCCTCAACCCCTTCCTTGAGGGTGGCTCTCCTTCTCTCCTTGTAGTTCCATAGCTCTGAAATTACATACATCCCGCTCGAGTTGTACTCGTTTATCTCGAGGAGGGCTTTTACGACCGCGTTGTAAACTTCGTCCCCGTAACTTTCCTTCACGTCTCTCAGTTTTTCGTCTTCTTCANCTTCATTGATCACCGCCTGAACCACACACACAGGAAAAGAAGTTACTTCAAGGTGGCAAGTGATGTGGTGATAGAATCTAGGCTCAGGAAAGGTCTTTACATACTCTAACACCCCCCCCCCCCTCACATGTAGGTGTGACTTCTTTGAGTCTTGCACAAGAGAACTTAATTTCTCTTGGTCATCAAGGCTCTGATACCATGTCAAGGTACCAACTCAACCATCCAGTAACCCTTACCCATCCTAAATTCAATCATGGTATCAAAGGAGGTTTTGGCTCAGCTCCTTTGTCAAGGTGACCGTCTAGACGTTCATTCCTAGCGGCTCATGCGTCTTTAGCCCAGTTGTCGGCATGTGGCCCACTTAACCCGATTGTTCATGCAGAAGGCCCAGCGATTCATTGTTTTTAGATGTTGCGACTCAAATACTTATTTCACGAGAACGAGATTAATTTGCAAGTGGTCAACCGGTTGGATTCAAAATGGTTTGGTTGTCAATTTGAGGGGGAGTGTTAAGAAGAGTCCCATATCGGAACTGGAAGGGAAAACAAATGAGTTTATAAACTTTTGAGTTGAACTAAGTAATTGATTGAATTCAATCTTTTACCCTTTGTTTGGATGGTAAGAAAAGAGAAAGAAAGAAAATGTAGGGTGAGAAAACACATATTACGAAGCATTTCTAATGTTTGTTTTGGTGAGAAAATGAGGAAGGAGAGAACTACGTGAGAAATGAAGGAAAAGAGTTTTCTCTTCAACATAGGTGAGAAAATGTCATCATTCTCCTCCCACCACAAATTTTTTATCTTTTCATCTTTTTCATCTCTTTTCTCTCCATTTTCATAACATCTCTATCAATCCAAACACTGATTTTTTCTCTTCATTTTCTCACAATTTTCTTTCCTCTCATTTTCCCACCTCTGTCAAACAAAAGGTTAATGTGATTCAACCCAAGTGTCTTATGGCCCAGTCCAATAACCCTTACCCATCCCAAATTTTATCATGTGGCATGTTTCTTGAATGTATCCCATCCTAGCTCAATTTACCTACCCCATATATTCGTGTAACGCTCCCTATCCCGAAGTATAAAAAAATTAATCAAAGAGTTTCACAATGACTAATCAAACCAAATATCTCAAGGGTCAGTTTTGAATAGAGTTTTGGATTTATGTGAAGGAAGATTACCTCTGGCCAATAAACCCAGTTATACACCTCAAGGTTGGCACTTCTTAAAAATATCCAATTCAGTTTGTCTCAATAGGACAAAATGAAGTGAACACGACATGTAAACACACACCTTTGGTCCAAGATCTCAGCTCACATTTTTTTGAGGACATCCAAAAAGAGGTTCTAATTCATAACAATGACATATTATTCACAAAAACTCTTTGAGGTCCTTCACATAAATAGTAATCATTTTTCATTTTGAAAGTCACTGAGGAGGGTGAAATTGCACAAACTACCTTTCAACACCGATCACTTATGTAAAACTGTTATGCCAAAATCAGCCTATAAAATGTGGGATCGTAGTGTCACACAATATGACAATATATAATGTCACACAACATGACAATATATAATGCCACAAATGCCCGGGTATAATGTCACAGTGCAAATTCACAATGTCACATAAAGGTTGAAAGGCATAATGCCAAATCCAACCCAATGCCATTAAATTATGGGATGTGAAGTTACCAGACCTTGAGAGATTTGGACATAGCAAAACTGCCATATTTTCTTGTGCTTGTGTTGGGGGTTTCTTGGAAACGGCCTATCTACTTTGAGTAGGGGTAAGGTCTACGTACACACAGTGACACACCCTCCCCAGACCCTATTTTTTGTGGGATTTTAATGGGGTTGTTGTTGTAGGTTTGAAGTTACAAGAACTTGAGAGATTAGCTCGTAGAACTACTTAAGTTGCATAGCATTTTCAAAAAATCGTAGTGTGAGCAATGAAAAATGTATGAACTTTTTAGCCTCAAATTTCATACCTGATGTTTGCCATTGACGTTGACCACCTTTATAGGATGCCATTCAGGATCTTTAAGGTACTCCTCCCAAAGTGAGCACAACTCGGTGGCCCTCTCATCTGCTTCAGCCTCACTATACTTCCTTTTCATTACTTCGTAAAATGGCTTGCTATCAAGCTCCCCCATCCTCTTGATACCAATATGAGTGTTCAACGACATTTCCTTCATGCCCTGGAAAAGCAACATTTATATCAGCTAATCCCTAAACATCATACCCAAATAGAGAAAAGAAAGGCATTTGAACAAAAAATGCGTAATTTGCATGGTTTGGATGTCAGAACTGAAATTTTGTCCAATGCATGACATATTACACCACGATTGAGAAGAATTAAGAACTATTGCAAGAGTGAAGTCAACTTTCACAAATGAAGAAAATTTAAGCACTAACATTAACCAACTCTCTCCTGGCATCTTGTAGCTCATCATTTGTCTTCCGCTCCTGCACAATTAGGGTCTGGTTTAATGTTTCCATATATCCAAGTTCTCTTTCCTTCTCCCTCAAGGCCTTGAGCAATGACTCGACTTTTATTAAGACCTCCGAATCACCTTCATCCTCCATGTGCTTCATCACATTGAGTTGACCTCTTAACTGCTCAATTTCAAGCTCTAAAGCTTGTTTTGTATGCAGTTTCTTCTCCAGTTGACTAATTCTCCTATGGAGTTCCTCCTTTTGTTTCTGAAATTACAAAGACCAGTACACATTTTCTTAAAACTGTTTGAACTTCATGCATGAAACAACCCCAATCATTATTGTCACAGGAACTAGAGCAGCCAAATACCTTCTGCACCTCAGCCAACTTCATTAATTTTTCATCCGCCTTTCTTTTTATCTCAGCAGCTGCTTTATGGGAGCCATATTTTACCGCATTCTGAAAAAAAATGGAAGGTGTAAAAATTATATTTTGTCCCAAAAACAAGTTTACACTTTCCTATTCTGGTTGTCTCAAAATCTTCTCTACATTTCCATTTATGGCAAGTACTTTACATCTACTTTACATCTTTACCCTCAAATACCAACTACAATTACTACCTTTTTACACGTTTCTACCTTAAAGTATGGGCAATTGAGTAACTTTCTTCATTTCCTTAAACTCTGTGCCATTCTCAAAAGACAAGTTGGTTTTGGGACGGAGGGAGTATAATTTTAGAGCATGGTTTACAGTGGAAAAATATAATTCTATCATCTAGACAGTCATCAAACTTTTGAGTATATATGGATGTGCAAGTATGTTTTTTTCTGGTACACCAGAAAAGAGAATATGCATGTAAAGAAAATGAGAAATTGGTGATAAAAAAACAATTAGAATTAGAGTATGTCACAGGCATTGCTAAAGTGCATATCACACAGAAAACATACAGGTCATCGACTTTTGTCAGAAATGTGTGGACCCTTTAATTGCTAAGCTCTCCAAATCGACTAGCCAGACTGAGAATGTCCAAAAAATAAGATCGCACAATCCCCAATAACTAAGAAGTATATGCAACACCTGCTTGAGGTCTTCAGCAAGCTTTTTTCTCTTAAATTCATCTTCCATCTGCCTCTTCATTAGTTCTTGACCTCGGAGCTCAAGATCTCTCTTTTGAGTTTCAAGCTGAAATTTCAGCTTCTCGTGGTAATTGTATATCCTCCTAAGATGATCCCTCGCACTTGACTCAGTCTTTTTTATCTCTGATCAAAGCATAAGAGAATGTCAAGTTTAAACCTATGTCCAATTTGATTAGCTTGGTAAACATCCAACTTTTGAACATGAAATACCTTCAGTACTATATGCGTGACGAAGAGCCTTTTCCTTGATCAACTGGCAGAGTGAGATTTCTGTCTCCTCAAGCTTACTCTTTATATCTAGCAAACACATTTTCTTTGCCTCAACAGCATTTGACAAATTGCCTACTAGTTTTGCGGTCATTCGAGCTTCTTCTTCCATAATATCTGATATTGTTCTAAGATCTCCAATCTTGCGTAGATTTTCACCAACAATGTGATTAGAATAATAATCATCTGCACGTGCTATCCATGCGTAAAGATCACACTTCATCTCATTCTTGGTCAGCCAATTTCGCTTTCCATGTTGATTAGCCTGATAATATTTATCAAAAGACATAGCATTGGTAAATCCAGACCAATCCTTACGAAACTCAACAATTGCAGTACTAGAATGGTCTTGGTTATTCCACAAAGCTCGCACTTTAGTTGGATTAAATCCTCCACTTGCCAACTGATCCCTTAATTTAGTACCACTCTCCCCTACAAAATGTCCGTCTTTGAAGGTAGTAGGAATATTAACTACGATGCCAGTCCATGGCCAGACAAACATTTCATTAGGATCAATATCTACAAAGGTATCTGCCTCCACATAAGGCTTTGGGGGACTAGTTATAGCAGCTACATGAGTTTCCAAGTATTTAGCCAGTTCATGATGATTTTTCTTGTTTCTTGCAGACCTTTTCAGTGAGTTGCAATTGCCAATCGCTGATGCATGCTGTAAAAGATCTTTGTACTGGAAGTCCCGTTTTCTTGTTTCAGGGCAGTATGGGCACATCTTTGTCCTTCCAGCTTCTTCTTCCATAATATTTGAAAAAGTTCTAAGATCTTTAAACTTGCGAAGATCTTCTCCAACAATGTTATGGGAATTATAGTCAGCTGCGCGAGCCACCCATGCATAAAGATCAGAGCCCTTCTCATTCTTTGACAGCCAATTCCGTTTTCCATGACCTTTAGCCTCATAGTCTTTCTCGAAAGACATGGCATTGGTAAATCCAGACAAATCCTTATGAAATTCAACAATTGCAGCGCCAGAATGGCCTTGGTAGGTCCATAAAGGACGCACCCTATATGGATCAAATCCTCTACTTGCCAACTGATCCCTCAACTCAATACCGCTCTCCCCCACATAATGACCATCCATAAAGCTGATAGGAATATTGACAATGACGCCAACCCATGGCCACACAAACTTTTCATCACGGTCATGATCTGCAAGGGAATCTACCTCCATAGAAGGTGTCGTTAGAGAAGCTTCAGTAAATATGTCACTTTCCAAGTACATAGCCAGTGCAAGGTGATTTACCTTGTCTATTATAGTCCTTTTCTCTAAACATCCAATCGCACTTGCATGCTGCAAAAGATCTTTATGCCGGAACTCTCCCTTCTTAGTAGGGCAGAAGGGGCATGTGTAAAAATGGTAAGATAATTTAACCTGGTATTTACCATTCTTCAGTTCTTCATGCTTTGCCAGCACTAAGCGATTTGTAGCGTCTCTTGAAATCATTTTCTGTGAACTGCAACTGCCAATCTCTTCTGTGTGCAGAAAAAGATCTTTATGCTGGATATCTCCCATCATTGTAATAGTATGACCTTCTTCTTTCATAATATCTGATAGGTTTCTAAGATCTCCAAACATGCGGATATCTTCCCCTACAATATTATTAGAATTATAATCATCTGCACGAGCTACCCACGCATAAAGATCAGACTCCGTGCCATTCTTTGACATCCAATTATTCCTTCCATGATCATTAGCCTCAAAATGTCTCTCAAAAGACATGGCATTGATAAATCCAGACCAATCCTTATGAAATTCAACAATTGCGGAACCTGAATGGCCCTGGGAATTCCACAAAGGTCGCACCCTAGTTAGGTCCAATCCTCTACTTTCCAATTGATCTCGCAATTCACTACCACTGTCCCCTTCATATCGACCATCATTAAATCTAGTGGGAATATTGACAATGATGCCAACCCAAGGCCATACAAAGATTTCATCACTCTCATTATTTGCATCTACCTGCAAAGGAGGCTTTGAAGGACCAGCTCCAGTAGTAATGTGACCTTCCAAGTACTTGGCCAGTGCAATGTGAATTGCCTTATCTATTTCAGTCCTTTTCTTAGAATAACAATTTCCAACTGACTTCGCATGCTGCACAAGATCTCTATATTGAAAGACTCCATCTATTCTCTCGGGGCAGTATGGACAAATGTTGGTCATTCGAGCTTTCTCCATAATATTTGACATAGTGCTGAGATCTTCTTCAACTATTTTATCATGATTACTATAGTCTGCGTCAACTACCTGTGCACCAAAATGAGATTTTTTCTCATTCTTCGCAAACATATTCTTCTTTCCATTAAGATTAGCATCATATTTTTTCTCTGATGGGCCAGACCCAGCGGTAATATGGCCTTCCAAGTACTTACCTAGTGCAAGATGAATTGCCTTGTCTATTGCAGTCCTTTTCAGTGAATTACAATTGCCAATGGAATTTGCATGTTGCACAAGATCTTTATACTGAAAGCGTCGATTTCTTGTCTCGGGGCAGTATGGGCAAATGTTGGTATTTTGAGCTTTTTCCATAATGCTAGACAGGGTGCTAAGATCATTTCTTACTATGTTATCAGAGCTATAATCCTTTGCAGAAACGACCCAGGCACAGATGTCAGAATTTTTCTCATTGTTCTGCAATAAATTCTCCTTTGCATTATCATTAGCCTCACAGATTGTTGTAGAAGGACCAGCTTTATGAGGTATTTCACTTTCCAAGTACTTAGCCAGGGCAAGATGATTTGCCTTGTGTCTTGCAGACCTTTTCTGTGAACCTCCGGTGCCAACCCCACTTGCATGCTGCAAGAGATCTATAAACTGGTAGTCCCTTCTTTTATCAGGGCAGTAGGGACACATGTAAAACTGATTGGATAATTTAACCAGGTGTTTACCACTCTTCAGTTCTCCATACATGTTCTTTATATACTTATTCATTTCAGGGTCTCTGGCATCAGTAAATTTGGCTGAATTGTGCTTCAAAGAAGTTCCCATGAACTTTGAATCACATTGATTTCTGAAAAAATTAAGGAGCATGTAATGAAATATTATATGCATAAAAATGTCACTATAATCAAACCACTACTGTGGGTGTACCAAATAAATGAACGAGTTCAGGTACTGGCAAAAATTAAAGAAGCACATTGCACTTAATTTGGAACATCAAGTAATGTGGAGTTTTAGGCCGTGAATCCCACTTTGACAGATTAACACAAGATATCTCATAAAATTTAGCAAATAAACGTCTCTTTTTCATCTTTAAGAGTGAACATACTACCCAATTAGAAGACTGCAACAACTACTTCAATCAATTACGGAGTATTTTTTAAGTTCAAAATTTTAATGAGCTTCAAGAAAACTATGCATTCTACCTATACAAAAAGCAACTTGGAAAATACTCCCTCGGTGACCGTCCCAAAAAAAAGAGTTGTGTTTGCAACGCTAGTTTTAGAATATCTAGTATAGCAAACGTGACTCTTTTTGGGACAGAGATTATATTTGTTAATATGTATTTGTATTTAATTCCTTTTGTCCCATGATGTCCATGTTATGATTCAAGCAGTCCAAATATCCATGCGAAATCTGCATTTGCAGACTCTAGAAACCCTTAGGAAGTGGGCCCATACACTTCCCAATGAGATCTACAGTCTCGTACTCTCGTAAAATGGATGTTATGTTAATGGGCAACTCAAGGTTCCTACCCAAAGTTCTATCCATACCACCTCCACCCTCTGCAAGCATCCCTTCCAAACTCAGTCACTCCTAGGTTCGATATTCAACACTTGAAAGGATACAATGACCACATCCCATCTTTGGAGAGACTTAATTGACCTAAGTTGACTGCCTCCAGGCAGAAGTTTTGGAAGGGATTAATTGATTTCATTTTCAGTCAGAACAATTGATTGATTGTAATAGTTTTGGTGGGACTGCAATTGTCATTTCTTTATTTTGAACAAGTTCATATAGGGGATGTTTGGTAAACAACATTTTGTCTAGCATTATGTTGTATTTTCGGCCATGGTGTTGGTAAAATAACATACGATTGGCATTTTGAAAAATAACATTTTGACGTCACCATTTAGTTTTATTTTTTATTAATCCTGCTGAATTGTGAGACATTTTGCAGAAAACTGCTGAGTGCTAGTCAAACCAACTAATACAAACAATTGACTACTGGCTGCTAATGTTAACAGTTGTTTGCTAAGTGCTAACTGCTATTTGTCAAATGCCCCTATAATTCGCAAAATTTTATAGATTAACAATCATAAAGACATCTTTAGAAATTCTGAAAAAAAGTGTCTCTGATTGGTTTTATGATACCCTCTCTCAATCTAACCTTGGCCTCGATCAGTTTTCTCCCAATCTCTTCTCCCATCCCTCACAATTTTCCAGTCCAACTGGTTCAGCTCAATTACAGAGCTGAACCAGAAACAACCACAACCGTACTTCTCTAAATTTGACAAGATCAAAGCAATGATTAAAAACCAGTCCAGTTCTCATAATTACACTCAAATCAGAAGAAAATGCGGGAGCAAATTTGAAGGAACAAGGTGAAAAGTGCAACTAAATCGAAGCGAATCAGCGGAAAATGCAAGCTTCGCATGAATTCAACGGATAATTAATGGAATACCTGAGAATTCGACGGGATTGAAGTCACTGCGTCAGAAGTTCAGGAGCAGTTAGAGTAGGTTTTGCTCTCCGATCCTGCTCGAGCTCTTCTTCCATGTTCATCCTGTAATTTGCTTTTGAAATTTGTGTTGGTTACGGTTACATGTTTTCTTGGGAAAATCAACGCGACTTGATGTTTAATTTGTCATCACCTCCCTGTGGTAATAAAGCCGTAAACTACGATGAAAACAGAAAGAAAGTATGAGCTCCCATTCTTTTTATTTTTATGTTCAAAATAGTAATAACAATGTCTCAATTTATACTTCAAAAAAAAAAAACATTATGAAGTATCAATATACTAGCATAATTTCAAATTATCACATTGTACTAGTTTTATTTTGGAATAAAAAAATATAAACTTTTATTTTGGTTTTTTTTTTTGATTTTACATGATAGATTTCTTCTAAATACTCACTCCGTCCCAGAGTATTTGTCTACTTTCATTTTTACACATCATCCAATGCACTTCTTTAATCCATTTTATCTTGTAATTTGTATATTAAAAAATTATAGAAATTATATATTAATAATCTATATGTTAAGACAAATCAAACAAGATCACACATGACTATATTTAGGCTTACACATTGAGAAAATTTGATGAGTCAAAGTACTTAGATGAACAGTTCCAAAAGTCAAAAGTGGACAAAAACTGGAGGACGGAGGGAGTAATAAATATAGTTACTAATGTCTACCAATCTACCGTACTTACGAATCTAACAGTACTTTTTAAACATTCCTTCCATGTTTAAGTTTGTATATTTTTAATTAAATTATTCAGTTTTTTAATTTACGCATAATTTTCAAAGTTCAGTCGTTATATCTTTCCCTATAAAGAGTACCACGTGGATAGCGATCGTAGTTTTATTTCATTCAGTGATCGTCCTATACAAGATCGTCCTATACGAGAGAAAATAAACTAACGACACGTGAGATTAGTCCATATGGAATTTATTGAGCCCCACCCCCTCCCCAATGTATGGCATACAAAGACATTAAATTAGGGCCCTAACCCTTCGAAACGGATGTGGTGTGCCTAGAACTCCTCTTTTGCATCTTATTGAATAAGGAAAGATGGATGATTCCCCGAGAAACCTTCAAAAAAAAGCTATATATCTGATTTAGATCGATAAGATACTTCACCAAATGTCAATTGAGATCTAAACCATTTTCTCCATCCACTCCTCAAAGTCGGTTGGGGAGGAATAGAGCCAGCCAGTTAGGAGTCTAAGAAGGAGAGAGATTCCTGCAAGCACTATATAGATTCCATAAACTCGTCAGCGCCACCTGTTGCATCAATGCTTGAAAAGTTACAATAAAGCTTGCAAGGTTCATTAACAGCAACCTTCCACCATCTATCGGTTGTACTTCTTGTTATACTGCCACCAGTGGTTCAATCTTTATCTGATTCCCCTATAGAACTTCGCCACTCTTTTTGACGATCCTTCCATTGGGCTAGATGGTCACACTCTCTGCTTTGTCGTGCTGCATTCTCATAGATGCAGACATGATCACGTAGATCACCTTAATCACTAGCATCACCATGAGATGACTGCTTAATTATTATTCACCTAGCCATAAGGATCCGAAGAGGAAGTCAATGTCGATTCAATGATTTTATTTTTATCGTTTCAATTAGATTGAGGTACGCGACAACATCCCAGAGCCACCACCTATAGCCATCAAAACATTATTCATTTGTTGTAGCACCATCACTGTGATCAGTAAACACTACAGGTGGGCAAGAATCCCGAACTCATTGTCCCAACTCGCTCATTTTGTTTCGTACCTGCTCCGAACTGTTTAAAGTGGGACGGGACTGAGACACATAAAATATTTTCCTTATCCTTCCCATTGTCCCATGTATATGTGTATATTTATTTATTTATTTATATGATGATATAACATAAAAAAGTATCACAGTTTTTCTTTTTCTCAAAATAAATAGACAAAATATTCATATTTAAATATTCTAAAAAAATGGACTAGGACCAAAATACTAAAATTCCAGGCCGTTCTGACCTGACCCACCCCAATTTGTGGTTCGTAGTTTACATGAAGTTTATAGTTTTGACTTTTGACACATTATGTAACATTTTATCGTGTTTCCGTATTGTTTTAACTTTTTAAAATTATTCTAAATAAAAATATCATTTTTTCATTACCTTACAAGTCAAAATGGGTTGTCTCCGATTATGTATTTTATATTTTTATATCTAATTTCGAACAATGGCAAAAGCATGATAATCAAAACCCTTTTCGTTTTATCCCGATCTCGAATATTAAGGGACAAAGACGGATAAGCTTGAAACCTGAACCATGTTGGACCATTTGAAAAAACTGGACAAAATGCGAGATTGTATAAAATTCAAACCACCTCGACGTGTACTGACCCTTAGTAAACAATGTGGAATTGATCGAAGAGCAACCGATGAAGTTCGCAACTCTCAATGAGAACACATATACTTTACTATAATATTTAAGACTCACGTCTCTAAGATGTTGACATGTGTCTAAATAATTATTCTAGGAGAAAATAAGTATCACGAACATCATTCTCCCCACAGATTTTATTAAAACATTGCTGATATATGAATAAAAACAAAGATATTTTGTGATAATTTTACCTATTTTAGGGGGCATAGTTTATTTTTTTACGCGATCAATTTTAAATATTTTTTTATAGTTCTCCATTCTCTAGGGGGCGGGTGGAGGGAGAGGGTGGTCGGGTCGGGGGAGGAGAGAGGATGGGGGTGGGTGATGGAAATGAACTCGATCGAGAAATTAAAGTATTTGAGGATTCAATAAAAAATGAATTTCCATCCAAAACATACAAAAGTCATTGACTCCCCTTAGAGAAATTATTTTGGGAAATTTACATAAATAGAACTAAAACATAATGACTTTTTTAATATAAGACTATATGCCATTATTCAAGTAAATGTTAACCATCACTTAACATTATTCTTCCCACTAGACATTATTTAGTACTATTTAGGGAACAAAAAAAGTTTAAATACTGCATTGGGAAATGACTTTTGTTTTAATCCTATTTAATGCAAATTTTTCATTATTTTTCCACGAAACATGATTTCTTCCACTTATGCAACCTGAATGGAAAAGTAGAGTTGTAATTTTTTGACAAAATAATTTTCTTTTAACCAAATAGATCTTAAGAATTAGAAACCAAAAGAACATAATCTTAAAATTTTGAAGAAAATTTTTATAATCGACAATTCTGAACAAGGTTTGGGCCAAGCATACATATAAGGTTGCTTCAAGCCTAGATCTTCGAGCACGAAAAGATCAATCTTCTGCTTCTCGATTTGGATCACACCCGGCTCACACATGGACCGGCATAGAATCTAGACAAGCTTCAACCACTTTTTTATACTTCGGCCCAGCAATATTGGCCCCCCTTCTTGACCTATCACTTCTTCTTTTTTTGGGCCTTTGATCTTGAGCTTTGATGTGTTCTTCCTTGAGCCGATATTCAGGTCTTAAGTTATCCGTCAAATATATATTTTGTATAAACGTAATGAATATCATATAGTTCTCAAACGCAATGAGTACATATAATTTATACTCGTAATATACATATTTTGAATAAATACTAAAATAAATAATAATACAAAATGTATACTTTATAATTACTTGAAAGTAAATATTCACGCAAATATATAAAAAAAATATCATATATCCAATTGTACCATATAGGGAATAATTTTTTTTAAAAATAAACTGATAATATGATAGTGCATTGCTTACCAAAAAGATCAATTGCCTCTCCCCACACCCCACATCATAGGGCTCATGCCCAACCAAAAAGATTACGGAGTAATTTTGCTTCGAACAAAAAAGTAAATTGCGGATTTTTTTGTTCGGAATTCGCGGTTTTTGTGACGTTTGAAATCCCAAATTCAAGTTTTTTTTTTGTGGAGCTTACCACAGAACAAGAAATCGTGAAAATGGAGGGCAGCCTGAGCGAGGAAGTCTTCGATTCATACCGTCTAAACCCTAAGTTATTCATCAACGAGGTCGTCGATTCCGTGAACATCATTGTAAATGAAGCTTTTGATTTCTTCCAGCAGTACGATCTCTCCCTATCCCTCTTCCTCTCTCTCTATACAATGCATGTTTTATTTCCGTGTATAATCGTGTATATTTACATATGCGGGAACAGAGTTTCCATTCAAGATAGCTTTTTTACCTGCAGGGAGGGAGAAAAGAGTCTAAAAATCGAGGGTACAGATCGATCCGTAGATCTAAAAAAGGTTCGCTTTGTGCAATGACGAATTTCAATTCGCAGATCTATAGTGTTGCTTATTGAAATTCTGGCCTTTTTTTAAAAATATATTTTATGATTTTTTTGCCTCTCTTTCTTTGACTGATGGTTGGGTTTTGCAGGGTGTGGATTATATTCGGAAGATGGTTCAATTGAGGGTGGACAATCGTCTAAGTGTGTGGGAGAAATACTGTTTGAATCAGTGTTTTATGGTACCGGAAGAGTTCTCTTTGCCTAAGGTTTGTGGGTTAAGAATTAAGGATATCATTAGATGAAACTATGTTGTCATTTAGACAAATGAGTTGTTGAATTGTCGATTTGTGTTTGGGAAAAGTTCCCATGGATGTGTTTAAATTTAGCTTGTGACTTGGGCACATAGCTCAATTTCACCTACATTGGCTTAAAGTCTTCTTGGGCACTGCTCTTTAGGATGAACCGTCTGGTGACACTTGCTTGGATCGTGATGCAGAACTGGATGCACAGTTGGATTCCTTGCGAAACAAACTCGCTCAGGTACATGATAATGTGATGTGTTGGGAGGATAAGCTTTTAAAATTATTTTGGCCCATATGGTTTTTTTTTTGAATCAGGTAAGTAAAGAGTCTGCCGACCTCAAAAGAGAGCTACAAGCACTGGAAAGGCAGTGTAGCATGAGTAAACAATCTGCAGCCTCTCTTGATAAAGTGGTACAGTTTTATAACGAACTGGGTGTGCACGATAAGTTTGCAGGTAAACGCTCCTCCAATATGATGTTGTCGTCAAATGCAATTAGAAGCCCACAGTTTCTTTCTGAATTTGAATAAGTTCTTGCAGAAAAATAAGAGATTTTGGGTTTTATTTTTCAATCAAATGTGAAGTATTTCTTATCCTTGTGCTGCAATATGTCACCAAGCTCTAACTATGAAATCAGACATTTGAATATTTCGAAATATGATCCTTAGCTGCTGTGAAGACAGCTAGGCAGTCGATGTTTATCTATCTTAAACTTGTGTGGGTCCAGAGCTGGTAACAACTGCATCAGAGTTCCGTTCGTCCATGGAGAAGCGGCTAACTCGGATGTCTACTGAGATTGAACACGAGAGAGCAGGGAAAATTCGCAAACTGAACAATCATGGGAATGGTGACCATTCTGGCAAGTTCTCTTCATCATTGGCTCATCTATGCACAATTACTTGTTCAAAGCATACCAAGAATCTGTGTTTTTATAATGCCGTTCACCTGTAGGTCTGCATAATGCCAAACTTGAAGATCTTCAACAATTTCTAGATGATTTCAAGAACACCAAATGATTTTATCATCTTCTCACCGCGAGCTAATGAATGACCCACATCCCTTCGGTTTTTGAAGTGTGTTTTGTCATTGTTTTTCAGTCAACTTTTGGCTTCTGTGTTTTCCAAGCGAAATTCCGGAGTGTTTGGATCGCATACAAAGATTGATTTAGGCTCATTTCCATTGAAAATTACGGAGTACTTCTCCAACAAATGCTTGAAATTGTTGTTTTTTGTATATGTCAATTGTCAAACACGTGACCTATCATTTAAGAGAGCCAAAACGGTATCACTGGACTACAAAATCTTTGGCAAGATTACTTGGCTTTGGGAACAAAGGTAAATAAAAAGAAGTCGCTTTGGCGGGGGGTTTGTTGTCTTTTAAACCCAAAAATTAGGTTTTAAATTTAATGCTCTGTATCGTTAAGTGGTTGTTACCAATTTCAAACAATTTAATATTTGTGGGGTGCTTGTTGTTTGGGTGTTTGTTGGGTATTTTCTTTGTGTTTACCATTATTTGTGTGGAGAGGATAAAATTGTGTATGGAGAAGGTAAAGATACCTTTGGAGTTGCCCTCTTCTAGTCTTACTTTTGTTTTTATTCAATTAAGATATTTTTCATTGGCAGTACTTTTATTAATTTTTTATCAATTTATAAATGTAAAAGATGTCAACTTTTATCGTAGATATACCCGACATGACATTGAGAATCAATGAGTCCAAATCTAGTATAGTATAAAACTTCAAGACTTAACAGATAAATGAATACAAATTAGGACTAATTTTTTTTAAAAGAGTACAAATATAGACACTATTGACAGACCGTAAGCTAATCTATTCACAAGCTTAGAGCATCTGAAATACTTATGGCACCCACCTCCGTTATGGGGTGTTTAATGCCTATCAAACGTTAAACACCGCCCATCTTTATCGTTAAACGGGCGTCAAATGTGCTACGTTCAGCATTTGACGCAGCTTCAATCGAGAAAATGGTCGTTGCTCTCCCCCCAACAGTCCAATATTTGATCGTTATCAAATATTAAAAAAATTAAATTTCAACTATAAATATTTTCTCATATTTTAAAAATGTATCCACACAACCCATTCTCTCATACAGTTCTCATTCTCTATATAAATCATCCAAAATCCCCCCTTATTTAAAAAAAAACACACACAACCTATTCTCATTCTCTCTATAAGTTATCCAAAAGAACAGCTCTCATTTTTCGTTGTTACGCGACGGTTGTTACCTCTGGTGGCAACAAGCACAACAAGAGGAGGGGGAATCCTCCCAATGTTCTACGCGATGTGAGCGTTTAAAACGTGTTCGAGCGGCTGCAAAGGAAGCACTACTCAACGACTACTTCAATACTTCGTGTGTTTACACACCGGAGGACTTTAGTAATCGTTTTCGGATAAGTCATTTTTTGTTTTTATGCATACTTGCCAATATTGAACGCGAGGTGTCTTGGTTCACTCAACAGTTTGATGCGAGAGGCCAACAAAATTTTAGCAGCATCCAAAAATGCACCGTCGCGCGCGCTTCGTCAGATGGTGTACAAAATGACTAGTGATATATGTTCAATGAATACTTGAAGATGTCGGCCCGAAACATCAGGTCATGTGTTTATAAGTTTTCTAAAGCAATTATTCGACTCTATCATAGAAGATATTTACGTAAGCCAACAACGAGCGATATTGAGCAGGGCGGGTGAGGCTTGCTGCTAAACACAGCGTTATCAGCATGCTTGGGAGCATCGATTGCACGCATTGGGAATGGAAAAATTGTCCTACTGCGTGGCATGGTCAGATCTTCCGAGGTGATCATCTCAATCCTACTATAATGCTCGATGATGTGACTTCAAATGACTTGTGGTTTTGGCATACTTTTTTAGTGTTTCGGGCTCGAACAACGACATTAATGTTTTTATCAAATCGTCCATTTTTGACGATTGGGGTAATGAGACTGCACCCGACTCGTCTTTTGAGCTTAGAGGGATGTTTTACAGTGTGGATATTATCTAGCTTCTGAATGGAATATATATCTTGATTATTCCACAATTGTCAAGTACCTCTTGAAACCAATGAGTCTTAAACGCGAGACCTACAAAAAAACTCATGAGGCGGCGAGAAAGGATATCGAACGAGCCTTCGGGGTGTTGAAGGGCAAGTGGCACATTACAGATATTATTCTCATAATTTGATTACAAAGGATGGTCATGTACGCATATATTATTCTCATAATATGATTATAGAGGACAACAAGTTTGCAATTTTTAATTACAACAAGTTTGCAATTTGTCATTACAACCCAGAGGAAGAGGTGCCTACATACGAAGATTTTGATGAATAAAAGAAGCGAAGAAACCACCGAGCACTAATGACGAATTTGATTGAACATATTTTTAGTCACTCAAATAATCAGTTATTTTCTTCGTAATGTAATATAATTTTTAATTTTTTTATTTATATTGTTATTATTAAATTATATTTTTTTATTAATATTATATTTTAATTTGACGAATTATTGTCTTTAAATTTAATTAATTAATTAATTTTTATTTAATTTATTTTTACAAAATGTGTATTAAAAATTTAAAAATAAAGGTTTGAAGTAGGAGTTTGAAGCCGGCTTCATATTCCTTTTTCTAGTGAAAGGAGGCCTGAGTCGATATTTCGTCCGCCTTCCACCGCAGTAAACTATGGCCCCGGCGACCCTTGCACGGCGGTTCATCTTCCGCACCATTGCTTCTTCATTTCTCCGCAAAGGCAAACTGTCCCCCTCTCTCTCCCATTCCCAGCCTGCAATTCCTACTCCATGGTCTTCTCGCCATCGATTGGCTTCGCAACCACTCCGCGGAATTAGGTTTTGCTCGACCGCCGCCGGCGACCCGCAACCCCCTCGGAGGCGCAACACCTTGGTCAATTTCTCGTTGTCCGATTCGGAAGGGGAGGATTCGGACCAGGAGGAGCTGGATATATCTCCGGCGAAGGCGATCGATAAATCCAAGCTTCCTCCTCCGTACGACCCGTTTAACAAGAAGCCGGTAATAGAGGAGCCCAAAGACCCGAAGAACCTACCGGAGGTGTTCCACAACATGCGCTCCGACGGCTTCTTCAACAATGCAGTCAAGATGTTCGACGGATTGTCCAAGGACGGTTTGACACACGAGGCACTGGAGCTCTTCTCCCAGATCAAAGACAAGTCCGTGATGCCGGAAATCGTGGCCCACACAGCCTTGATCGAGGCGTACAGTGACGCAGGGCAGCCCAGAGAAGCACACAAAGCCTACCAGCGAATGCTGGTTTCCGGCGTGCTTCCCAACGCGTACACGTACAGTGTGCTGATCAAGTCTCTTGCGGCGAGTGGCGACCGGAAGCTGGTGAAGGAGGCGAAGAAGTACGTAATGGAGATGGTGGAGAAGAGGGGAATGAAGCCGAATGCCACCACGTGTGTCCGGAGCTTCGAAGGGTTGGTGGAGGCGGGCATGGAGGAGGAGGGGAAGGAGTTGCTGGAAATGCTGAAGAAGAAAGGAGCTGTTCCTGAAGAGGATGGAGTGAGGGAGGTTTTGAAGAACAAGAGAGGGCCTGCTTACAGGACATTGATCAGCATCCTCTATGGAAAATGAGTTGCAGGTCCTTTGATTTCCCTTTATATACTTCTTGTAGTTTTGTGTTTTGTGTCTCATTATAGTGTTGGAAATTTTGGTTCTTGTGTTTATGCTCTTGTTTTTGTCTATGATATTATATTTACTTTGTACTTCTGTGTTTGGGTGGGGAGTCTGTAGGAAAAAATATCTGAATTTTCAAGTGAGGGTAAGGTGTGCGTGCTCACATTATACTCAAACTCTAATGTGGTAGGTGGACGAGTGTTTCGATATATTGTGCGTCAAAAATGGTGCTCGGTTGAATAATAAATTAAATCACAAAGTCAAACACTTGGGAAGAGTAAGACCCACTTATCCCACATCGGATTTGAGACTTTTCATCTTCCTTTATTTATATGCTAGCATTAGAAATTTGAGGAGGAAGGAAAGGATCCTCCGCGCCCCGCCGTCTAGCCGGCTTGGCACGGCACGTCACGCACGCTTGCTGCTAACGCGTGTTGGCATGTGCGTGCGTGGGCCAACTCTTATATTTTTACGAGACCGAATTGAACACGTGTGGGCACTTCGTTAGTAATAAAGGCGAGAGTCAGACATACATGCATGATGCATCTCTGAAGGGTCTCTGACAAAGACACTGGAACAAAACATCTCTCTGTTCCAAAAGGAATTTCCAACTCTCTCTCTCTCTCAATCTTTGGTCATTTTTCGGATGAATAACTTTCCTTCCTTCCAGTTCGTCGGTGCACGGTTCTACCACTCTAGACCTTCCACGTTAGCGGTTTCATTCTGGGAGGAGATTGTCCCTGTGAGCCAGTGCCGGAGGCGGGCGATACTACTTGGAAAGCTTTGACGACTCCGCTTGTCCCTGTGAGCCAGTGCCGGAGGCGGGCGATACTACTTGGAAAGCTTTGACGACTCCGCTTTTCTCCATTTTCCGAATCCGGTGGTTCTCAAACTTCTGCAAGATTCCTTCATCCACCTAATTTTAGCAGTCTATTTTTTTAATTTTCTCAATTGTAAATCTGAACAATTTATAAGTTTGGATATTTTACTTTTTTCCTTTCCCGGTGCAATCTAGAGACAACATCAGTGGCGGTGGAGGCGAGTGGGTGATGTTGTTCCCGCATGGCGGAGGCTCTCTATGTCGTGGGGCCGAGGCTGGGGACTTTGGAGGTAGTCGTGGCGGTGGCGGCAGGTGGGTGATATTGCTCCCGCATGGTGGAGGCTTCGTCGGCGGCGGCGGAGGGTCGGTGGTGTTCCCGCATAGGGGTGGACTCGCCGCCGACAAGGTGGTGCCATGGCTTTGGTTTGGATGACTTAGGTTCCTACATGATATGACTACATATTTATAGATTAGTACTTGGTATGTATGGTTGTACACTTGTACTTCAGCTAAACTTTAAACTCCAATTATTCTTAATTTGTACTCCCTCTGTCCACCATAGATCTTCCCAGACACTATTCACAGGGTCAAATTTTACTCACTTTGTTTACTCATTTTTACTAGTCATTTCGTAAAATAATATAGTCTTGTCACCTCTAGTTTTGTAGAACTTTTCATGTAGTTTATTACTATATACGGAGTAAATTTTATTTTCAAATTTTATTCCTATAATCAATTAAATTGAATTGAAAATAAAGTCGGTCAAGCCTCGTAACGCGTAATGAGAAGATCTTAGGTGGACGGAGGGAGTATTCCATATTAGTATAATGAAATATAATTTTGAAAGTTCTCATTGTGATAAATATAATAAAGTCATTTTATATTAAAATATGTTGAGAGTATCCCACATCGGAAAAGTGTGAGGAAGATAATCGGTATATAAGCTCTTGAGATGAACTAACTAATCGATTGGATTCAATCTTTTAATGCGGTTCAATTCAAGTGTCTTATTGCCCAATCTAGAAGTTTATACCCCATCTCAAATTCTATCATGGTATCAGAGTAGGTTTTGGCCCACCTCGTTTGTCATGTTGTTCGTCTAGACGTTCATTCCTAGCGGCCCGTTAGTCTTTAGCCAGTTGTCCGTATGGAGTATGTACCCAACGGCATGTGGCCCGTTTAACCCGATTGCACGTGGTCCTTTAGGTGTTGGCGCTCAAAAAAAAAAATCAAGGGGATGAGAGTCCATTTGCAAGTGGTCAACCGGTTAGATTCAAAAATGGCCCGGTTGTCCACTTGAGGGGGAGTGTTAAGAGTATCCCACATCGGAAAAGTGTGAGGAAGATAATCGGTATATAAGGTCTTGAGATGAACTAACTAATCGATTGGATTCAATCTTTTAATTTGGTTCAACCCAAGTGTCTTATTACCCAATCCAATTGTCCATACCCCATTCTAAATTCTATCAAAATATATTTCAGTATTTATTTAATTAAAGCTTAAAATTTATCAAGTTTGACTCAAAAAAATCAAATTGAACAATTACACTAAGACGAACGGAGTATTTTTTAAAATGAAAAGTCATACTTCCTCCCTCCCACAAAAACTTTCTCTTTTCATTTTTTCTTTCGTTCCAAAATTCTTTTCTTATTTATATTGAATAATCATTTTTACTCATACTAAATTTTAACCTACATATCACATCACATCTATTCACTATTAATTTATCTATCACATCTTTTACAGGCCAATAGCTCTGATACCCCCTGTGGTTTGGAAAATTGGCACTAATACCCCCTCTATTTTCAAAACTTATTTCTAAAGTCCTCGTGGTTTCAAAACGTTGCACCCACACCCCCTCTGATCATTTTCCGGCCATTTTCGTGCTCATTTCTTATTTTCGTTTATTATTCTTCCCTTTTTAAATATTTTATATCTCTTTTTCCTTTTCCTAGATTCTTTTAAGATATATTTTCAATTTTTTATAATGTTTCAAAAATTTTAAAATTCTTTGTGTTTGAAATAAAAATAGAAATAAAAAATTAACATATATTACATCTATCTCAAATTAAATATTTTCACTTTTTGTTACTTAGAATAATTTTGGAAAGTTAAAAAAATTCCAGAATAAAAAAATAAGATATGGAAAATCAAAATGAAAAAATTAAAATACGCAAAAAAAGTCTTATACAAAAAAATTTGGACACGCCTAAAAAAGTCCTTAGAATTGAGATGTCCAAAAGAGATATTCATTTTTATTTTTGCATTATTTTGTTTCTTATTTTATTCCTCATTTTTTTAAAGTTCTAAAAAAATTACTTTTTATTCAGAAAAAACAAAATTTGTTAATTTGAAACGTACATATGCATTACTCCCTCCGTCCTAAAACCTTCTTCCCGATTTGACCGGAGATGATTTTTAAGAAAGTGTAAAATTTGTGTTGACCTTCCCAAACTACCCCTAAAATCCTCCCCTTTGCCCAACAACGAGCAGATCTAAAATTACTCCCCCAACACTTCTTCGGAAATGCACTGCATCAAAATTGAAATTACAGTCTAGATGAAAAAAGAAATCTAAAATAATATCTCGAATTGAAAGCCAGGAGTTCCATGCAAATTCACTCCAAAATGGAGTTCAATATGGACATGTGCATGAGCTTTAGGGGAGCTCCACTTCTAGATCTGCCATCATAAAAAATGGAGTTCATAATCCGCAAGATCCATCATCGCAAATGTCACATCTTGAGATTCGTCTCTTATCATCTTCCTCATAATTTTCAGATCTGCAGCCGCCTCGCCATGTTAGGTGAACGAGAGAGAAAATGAAATTCTTTTAGGTAGTGTTTGCCAACTAGCATTTCATTTCAATTCATGTATTTCAATTCCAAAATTTGAAATCCTGAATTTCAAATGACAAGGGGAGATGCATGGATTTCAAATTAAGCTTGGTTTGAATGTAAAGAATTTGATTCAAATCCAAATTCAAAATGCTTAAGTTTCCCAAACATGGAATTTAAGCCAAATCCGGATTTGAAATCCAAATCCATGTTTCCAAACATACCATTAAGAAATTGAGAAAATTGAAGAGAGACGAGGGTGAAGAGAGATGACGATTGATAGAGGATAAATGGAAAGGAAAATGAAGCAGATGACGATGGGGAGTGGAGAAGAGGGAGGAAGAGGAAGAGTAAGAACAAATTAAAGTTGTGTGGAGGGTCGGATCGTTGGTGGGGGTAAAGATAAAAGGATATAATTGTCACTCACACCCATGGGAAGGTAGTTTTAGGACGGAGAAAAAAGGGAAGTGGGAAGAATATTTTAGGACGGAGGGAGTATATGTTAATTTTTTCAAACAATTTTAAATTTTTAATTTTAAGAACATTATAAAAATAATTTTAAAAAACCTTTATTAATAACTGAAACAAAAAAAAGGAAAAAATGGAAAAAAATTGCGAGAAATAAAAATCAACATTGATACCTCCCTATGGTTTAAAAATTATGCACCAATGCCCCCCTTCTTCGCCGGAAAAATGGCCAGAAATTGATCAGAGGGGGCATGGGTGCAGCTTTTTAAAACCACATGGACTTTAGAAATGAGTTTTGAAAACAGAGAGGGCATTGGTGCCTGTTTTGCAAACCACGAGGGGTATCAGCGCTATTTGGCCTACTTTTACACATCACATGCAAATACATTTTGGGAAATAAACACCAAAATACACTCTCCTTAAATCCTGTAAAAATCAAAATCAAAAAGGTTTTGTGAGACGGAGAAGTATTTGGATCATAAACAAAGTGATCACAAATATCACAAATTTACATTTTGTGAATTAAATTCCACAAAAGAATAATCTAAAATAATTTAAATAGTGAATATCTCCACTTGATAAGAACTCACTTTCATGGCACTTGATAAGAACTCACTTTCAATGCAATTGACAATGAACTAGAGGGACAAGAGAAATCACCTAGAATGCGAGCAAATCACTCTTATTTCACTTTCATGAGAATCGAGAAAGAATCCACTTGATAAGAACTTACTTTCATGGCACTCGTCTCAAGAGAAATACAAACCCAACAAGCTGCTCAAGTATCCTCCACTTCCGTGGTAGGACTTAAGAGAGAGACTCATGACTAAGAGTTTAAACCCCGATTCTCAGTGATTAAGAACTCATTTCGAAATATAAGAATGTCATCGTGTCCAACAATATCATACAAGCAATCTTCACAAATATCCTAAATCAAAATCTCATAATCCACAACAATCCAAATACAACAAGAAATGAGGAAAAGCTAGTAAAGTATTCTGTACCAAGAATACTAAAAAATTAAATAGAAATAAAAAAACTAAAAATTTAAAACTAAAAACTTGAAAAGAAAAAACAGAAAACAAAACTAAAAATCTCCCCCCATCCTCGAAAATTTTGAGGCCCAATACTCATCGCTCAGGGTTTATATCTCAGGGGCTCAGTATATATACCTAATTCTTACTTCCTGCTCAACTTTGGAGCTCGGTTCAAAGCCACATGGGGAAAAAGAGGAAGCAGCGGGTAGCCGCTGCCGCCGCCGCCGCCATTGAGCCGGAATCTGCTCCTGCGGAGAGGCCGAAAAGAACACTCTTCGGATGGAAAGATGGAGGCGTGAAGAAAAAGGAAAGCGATTCTAGGGTTTTCTTCAGAAACAAAGAGAAGATTTTGGTCACATCCTCTCGCCGTATCAGCTTCAGGTTAAATTGAACTCCTTTTTTATGGTTTCGTTCTATTATTTCGGTTTTTTAGGGTTCTTAGTTTGATTCAATCAATTTTGGGGATTTCAGGTATAGGCATCTGATGCTGAATGTGGTGTCACTTTTGCCTCATTGTAAGAAGGACAGTAAGGTGGAGTCCAAGAACATTAAAGGCGCGACCTTGAACGAGCTGGTTGAGCTCAAGAATTGTTCTTCTTGCTTGTTTTTTGAGGTATTTTGTGACACACACACACACATATTCTGAAATAGTGAAATGTGTAGCTTGAGTTCTGTATCATATCCTAATGTGAATGTTTATGCTTCTTTGGTTCCTAATTAGTGTGCATTGTGTGCCCAACCCATAGCATTAGAGGAAATGAAAGTGGGCTCTTTTTCATAGTAATATTTTTTAACAACGAGGTAAATTTTTAAGAGTATATTCAATGGAAGTGTGTGCCGATTAGTATTAATTATTAAATTGTTAAGGTTTGTAGGATTTTTTTATCACGTGGATCCTTTCAAATGTTTCAAACAATGTATGTTTTTATACTAATATGGAAATAAGGAAAAGGTTGCACACTAATTTGGAACAGAGGAAGTACGTTTTGTGCTTACAGAGGCTCTCATTTTTTTCCATTTTTGAAGTAGCGTTGGCATTTCGATTCCAGCATCCTGTATGCCATGCTGAATATGTATAGAAATTGTTTGTCCTAACATAATATGCTAAAATGTTTTTTCGTTCTTGTCTCTCAGTGCCGGAAAGGGAAGGACCTTTATTTATGGATGGCTAAGTGCCCCAATGGTCCTTCTGTTAAGTTTCTAGTAAATGCAGGTAATCATTTGCCATGGATAAATATTTTTCTTCTGGCGTTCACTCTGATTCCTTTTGATTATAAACATACTTTATCAACAATTTGAAATGAAAACTGGCCCTCACCATTATTCTTTCAATGGTATATGCGATGCAGTTCACACGATGGAAGAGCTAAAACTCACTGGAAATCACTTGAAAGGATCACGCCCTATCCTAACATTCTCTAGCAATTTTGATAAAGATCCACACTGGATGCTTTTGAAAGAAATGATATCACAGGTATTTTGCAAGGGTTTCGGAAATACTAGATTTCATTCTTCAGAGAAGTCTTATGTTATATATCATTTTTTATTTTTACTGCCAGATTTTTGCAACTCCCAAGGATCACCGGAAATCTAAGCCATATCATGATCACGTATTTGTGTTCTCTATTGTTGATGACCATATTTGGTTCCGAAATTATCAGGTTTTTACATCTTCTTTTCCCTCTTATTCTGGATTTTTTTCTTCTATTCCTCTTGATCTGGTGACACCCTTATAAGTTTATTTAATTGTACATCTTCACTGCAACTCTTAAAATCTATTTTCCATTCAAATAGGTCTAGAACACGAACTTTTTCAGCCATTCTTTACCTTTTTTCTTTATAATTTAATCAACTTTCTCTGATTTTATTTAGGACAAAATCTTAATAACATTTATTTAGGGGTTAAGCTTATACTACTGGTCTGTGACACAATTATGTCTCGTTTTATATGTAAAACTGATTATATATTTGAAGTTGTAAGCAAATTTTGTGTGTAAAGTTAGATCCGTATAAAGTTCGAGGCTTGCACCTTTCCTCCCAAATTAAAAACACCTCCAAGCTTAAAAGCATTTTGTTATGCATTGTAATGAGGTCACAATTTCCATCTTACGATTAATAGAAGGTGCTTATTCGACATATTTCTTCCTAATTACATCACAAACATTATTCCTGTCGCTTTTTAACATTAGAATAATTCATAAATACCTTATTCGTGGAATAGATATCCTGTCCCCATAACAGTGGAGCTCAGAAAGTAGACCGTGGAGACCTGGAGAAAATGACCCTTGTTGAGGTTTGTATTCGTAACTCTTTATTTGTTGACTCTTTTATGAGTAAATCTTAATTCAATTTTCTTTCCCTTTCTGTGCATAGGTTGGTCCGAGGTTCTGCTTGAATCCAATTAAAATATTTAGTGAAAGCTTTGGAGGGCAGACTCTTTACGAGAACCCATTCTATGTCTCTCCAAACCAAGTAAGATTTTCTAGCTCCATTGTTGCTTTCGGATGTCTGCATTTAAGCACAAATCCAATTTGAACACTAGCTTTAAAATAGCCTTATCCTATCCAGAAACAATTTAGAAACCCATTGTTGTTTGTTTGACCATTGGTTGCTTGACATACTGTTTTCAATTTTGATATTTGGTTTTCAAAAATGCGTTCTAGATACGATCATTGGAGAAAAAACAGAAGGCGGGCAGGTACGCGAAGAAGGTGAAAGAAAAGACGAAGAGAAAGATGCATGAGCTGTTGAATCCAATGGAGCTTGATGAATTTGCAGACATGTGGAAGGATTGATTGGTTGAAGGTTTAATTTGGCTTTGCTTTGGGTCCTTAGACTTTGTGGCACAACTTGCAAGTGCTACCAAGAATTATGTCATTTTTGGTGTGATTAGCCACTGGTTTTTACAACCTTCTACCATGTGTTTTGTGTATGAATTTCTTCTGTTTGAGCAAAGAAATCTGTTATTTGAGTACTTGTTAGCTATTACTCTCCTCCGGCAAATTCTTTTGTGGATCTAAGATTCATATTCATTTTATGGACTATAGTGTATTTGTACGATAGAACAAGTAAACATTTTGTGAAAAAGAAAATCCACATGCAAGTGTAAAAAATATGAGAAGGTTCATATTTTAAATATGGATTTTGGATCCATACAAGCATTACTCTATTCTGTGTCTTGCAATGGAACCAAAACTTTTTAGTACGTCTTGAAATCAACTTTCACAATGGTACCAAAACATTTTAGTATTCTTTTTTATAAGCAAAAGCCGGTAACATTTCTCTCTTCCAATTACACTTTTTTAAAAAACATTTTTATGCTCTATGAGGCAAGAATACTCCTCTTTTCATTCCAAATTCAAGAATACGATTGGTACGATTAATTGGTCTGTGCACCTCTCTTAATGCCAACTTCATTTTGAGATGGAGTATATGGCTCATATTACAAGCCATATTTGAAATCTTATTTGTCCAGCAATTAACAATTGGCAATTGAATATTGTTGCATGTTTGACTCTTAAGAATTCAAAATAATGTCATTGAAATTTATGGAGAAATGAAAAATAATACTCTATTGAATTGTACCCAGTGGCATTAGAAAAATGTTGGGAATAAAAAGAAAGCAAAAGACTTAAATCGGTGACATCACCTTCAAACTGTTTGACAACATATTGTATACCTAATCCTTTGTCCTCTCCAAACAGCATATCTGTGTTAACAACTGTGAGTAATTTTCCCATTCCAAAAAATTTGAACATCATATTTTCTTCACCCAGAAAGACGGTAAGATCGCCCGCGGAATGCTACACCCGAACTCCTCTCAGGCTCTGCGCGGTTACTCCTCGTCGGGTAACCAATTCTCATTCTTGCAACCATTTTGTGTCTGCAGCAATCTTGGTTAAAGAAAATTTGAATTCGGGGAATGAGAAATCTAACACGGCATACGGCAAAACAGGCAACAGTCAGCCCGATGTAGGCAAAACTTGCATTTTTGCAAGAGACCGCTTCCAAGAGGGAATGCAGTGGGCAAACATGTAAATATTCAAAATGTGAGGATATATTTGCAAATATTTTTCAGAAGAAACAAAAGAACATGTAAAATGACATATTTGTCCCAACGGAAAAGGATACATCCATTTTGGTGTTTTCAGCAGGGTCTTCCCAGTGGAAAGCGGATGCAGCACCGTTAGGAAGTAGTACAGATGGCCAGCTATGATGCCTAAGAGATCTGGCATAATTGGTGACCCAAAGATCACATCTAAACCCAGCATGGCCCACGGGAGATAAAACGCCTGAAATTAAAAAAAAATATGAGGCCGCAGCCATACAAATGGCATGGGATTATAAAGCCGCAATAACATAAAAGTAGCTAAAGCATACCTTCAATGTCACAAGTCCATAAATATTGATGTTGGCATTCGGGAATTCTCTACTCCAGACATATAGAAGCATGAAGACAAGTGATACTCCCAAGAATGGGCTCCAGAAGTAGGGGATAAAGGATAAAACCTAAGCACAAAAGATCATAGTTAAAACAAGTGAAATGCAAGGAAAACATAGCCACTAATAAGAGCCTGTTTGGATAGCCAGTGTAATTGGGTGTAACTACACTCTTGGTCATGATTGGATGACCACATAATCACACTAGTATCCAATCGGGCTCTAATGGAGGTAAGGGGTGGAGGGATGCTTGCATTTTTCAAACAACTGTTCATTGAGCAGCTATTCAGCTAGCCAATGTAGCACATACACCCTAGTAAAAGAGCTACCATATGATATGATTGTAACGTACCAGCAGTGATAAGGTTCCAAAAATCATCATCCATAGGAAATCAGCCGTGCGTCTTTGAAAAGGACCACTCTCAAGTTGCACACCATATCTAGCTCTAAAGCAGAAAATGGGAGCATTAACTGCACTTTGTTCTATTTTTCTTAAATAGATATAGATCTCTTTGATACTAAATAAGGCATTACAAAATATTGGCTAATTAGGAACGGTTATTAATAAAGTTGGAAGTGTGTGGTTGGGTTTTGTGAAGAGGAAGGACAAATTGTGTGAACCACAAAATTCCCCAAGGGAAAGAGCAAACTTCTTCTGAGACAAATGAAAAAGAAAATGTAAAACTTTTTCATGAGACGGACAGAGTATCCTAGTAATATACAATATGCAGTTTGTTTCATTCAAAGAACATATGGTAGTACATCGCATTTAGATGAAAGTTCATTCAAATTAATGCAGATCATTTTGTTTGTGGGTGTGGTAGGGATAGAGCCTAATGGAAACCCTAGAAAGACTTATTCTGGTCAAAGTCATTTAATTAAGCTTGCAAATGTACTACCTCCGTCCCGCTATATTCATCCACTTTTGACTTTTGGAACTGTTCATTTAAGCACTTTGACTCATCAAATTCTCTCAATGTGTAAGCCTAAATATAGTCATGTGTGATCTTGTTTGATTTGTCTTAACATATAGATTATTAATATATAATTTCTTTAATTTTTTAATATACAAATTACAAGATAAAATGGATTAAAGAAGTGCATTGGATGGTGTGTAAAAATGAAAGTGGACAAATACTCTGGGACGGAGGTAGTATGTATTATTGATAAACGTAAACCCTATTTATATTACTAACAATAATCATGGTGAGTACTAAATAGAGTTCCAAATTATTAGAATATTGATATTAAGAATATTAACTAAAATAGAATATACTCTATAATAATATGAAACTTGGACTACTTACTAATAAACAATACGCCTAGTACTAGTAATAATAATCATGGTTGTCACATTGACAAGTCGAATGGTTCGTGAACTGACTAGTCAATTGACGAGTCGAGATTTAGTTGTAACTCATGTACTCAACACATGTAATTATTGCAGAATATGTGCTCTGGAAATTTAAATATATCACTAATCATCTCCAAATCTCCAATATATCCCAATAGCAATAAATATAACAATGTCAAAAGCAAGAGGTTAAATCACTATTATAAACTTCAAGTATCTAGCTATCAAATATTAGAATCTGAAATTAATGGGCATTTAAACAAAATTTAGTAACAAACATAAAGAAATAAACAAGAAAAAAAACAGGTGTCATAGTCAATGACATGATAATTATGATTATAATATCAAACTACGTAGACCGTAGTAATACTTAATTTAATAATAATAATACTCCGTAATAAAGATACACTATGCCCATATCACATTTACTTTCAAAACAGACATTTGAGCACAAGTAGATGTTGTCAATTCAATTTGATATATTTACTAGTGATAGAGCAGCTCCGTAGCAGCAGCTATCACTTACCGGAGTAATTCTCTAATAAACTATGGCAGCATGAATGAATACTTCCAATCCCAAATTTTCATTTTTCTTTTTGAGAAGTAAAACTTTTCGTAACTAGTCATCCTCTAGCCATGCTAGTAAGTACTTACATCATCAAGAGGCGTATCCCAAAATTGATGGAAAATTTGCCGAGGAAAAAGAAATTTGTTATCAATCTCCACACCTAGCAAAAAAACTACTATTTGTCACACATTTATCCTTTTACTTGAGAAACTTTATGAGCAATTGGCCCACTGAGATCCAGAGTAAATGAAGCAAAAAAAAACAAATCTACCCTGAAGAGTTCTGCATACCAACTGAACATGAACAAAGATCATTTTTGCCTGTCTTGTATGCATGCAAAAATAGTGATTGAAGAATATGCTGGTATAATGAACATTAGGCATAAAGCATAAAACACGAGGTTTCTTGTAAAAGGGTCAACTATTATTATTGATTGTGCATGCCCATAGGCCAAAACATCAACAGAATGAAATTTCAAAAAGATGGCTTTAAATAATAAAGCAGAAATGTTCATATCATGACTGCTTGTTCTCCAGATTGGGCGTATTCTTACAACAATTGTTTTTACAACATATCTTACATCAACGAAATCGGGGCACCTACGGTGCTCCGTTCAAAAATTGCGTTGTTGTAAGAAATGTTGTAAAAAAATGTTGTAAGAATATATATATATATATATATATATATATATATATATATATATATTATAGAAAATGTTTACGTGGTGCTCACATTTCAAGATCAGTATTTAGTGAGATGCCACTATGCAAGGAAGTGCTATGATAAACCACATATAAACTGAAAATTCAGAATGAAGTGTTTACCTGGAAACGGTAGAAAACCAGCTCAGGCAACAATGCAATGTTAGCAGGATTGACTACCCCAAGAGCAAATGCAACTGTTACAGCCAAACAAGCAGTCCCATAAGCCTTGCTTATTGGTGGAAGAGATTTGTAGTATCTGCAACCAATGAAATGGTAGAGGATCACAGTGGTGAAGAAATAAAATGAACAATATGTGCAACTTGATACAATGGCACTGTCCTCATCATCGTCACCTTAATCCCAATTGTGTTGGAGTGGGTGGCATGAAATTAAATTTGTAAGAGAATAAATTTTTGTAACACAATCATAGTGCAAGGTTTTAAAGCGAAATCCCGTCCTGTTGCAACCTTCCCAAGAAAGTGCAATGAGATGACTTTCCAAAACCAGCATCGTCATGAAGTTTTTCCACTTAGATAATATCACGAACCGACGACGAGTTAAGATAGTAGCTACAGTCAAGTCTTATTACAAAATTAATATTGTGAAACAATTAATCTAACATGCACATTGATAATTTCACAATGCAAAGTAAGAGAATAACAGTAATAGCTAAAACAAAAGCCCGAGAAGGAAATAGCCAAGGAAACAATGAAATGAGAATGAAAATATACAGGTTCTGTGCACAGAGCCACAGACAAAACCACAACCCAAAACTACAAGTCTTTGCAAGAAACCCTGCACTCTTCAAATCGTTTAATCAAAGCAAATCATAAGACATAATCCCTTGAAAGAAAATGTTTGACTCCTAAGAATAAAGTTACTCTATACCATCACAATATGCAATTGCAAGTTTGCAATTACATCCTTCATCAAATTTTGTGTTCTACCTCCCAGTCCACACATCCCCAATTTACCTTTGAATTATATGAATGCATTTCCAATTTTCGCCCTAAGTACATTCCCAGACTTAAATTCCTGCAAACCCTCTGAACTCTAAGCCCTCAACACAATCTATGCCAAGATTTGTCACTTTCCCTGAACATTCCTACCGAGTAAATAATAAACAATTTCCAAATAACAATCATGTCAATGCAATTTCTCTTTAAAACAACCGTAGCCGCGCCACTAAAACCCATTGGGCATCCACCCATTCCAGAAAAAACATTATCGACAAACAACAAAGCATTTCAGCACAAAAATTGAAAATCAAAACATCCAAACAATCTGTGTTCATATATGTAAACAGTTAGAATGAGAGGGATATACTCAGCAGGAGAAGCCATCGCGAATCCGTTGATCTGTGAAATTTCTTGAGCTGCAAGTTCAAATATATACGAAAAAATTATGCGACGAAGTATTTATAGCCAATTATCCGCGAAGATTAGTTGATTCTTGTTGAAGACTTGAAGTTTAATTTCGTGATGAAAAAATAAATAAAATGAAATGAAATAAACGCAGGCGTTAGATGAGTTGTTCGGACCAATGGAAGCTCAGCCAGCACCAGAAGCTTCTATGCATCAGCCCCTGAGGATTTTGTTTAGACAAGTTGGTTATTTTGACACAAGGTTGAGTGTCATATTATCACACTCAATCTCAAGATTCCCATGACATTGGAAATCAATGTCACTGGATGACCCGAGGTCCCTACGATGTTTCGTTCGAAAAATTGATTGTTCATATCCCTTTTAACCCCCCAGTAAACCCCCCAACTCGGCCCGACCCGAACCAACCCCTCCTCCCCGTCAATTGCACCCCACAAGATGTAGTTGACTTTGGAGTCAAAATTTGACTCCAAAGTCAACTACAAAATTTGACTCCAAAGTCAACTACATCTTGTGGGGTGCAATTGACGGGGGAGGAGGGGTTGGTTTGGGACGGGCCGAGTTGGGGGGTTTACCGGGGGTTAGAGGAGGTAGGAATAATCAATTTTTCGAACGGAGCACCGTAGGGACCTCAAACGGAGCTCATGTCATAAGATGACATTAGGGGTTAATGTCACTAGAACCTTTTATGACTAGTAAGTAGTAGGTACTAACTAAATTGATTCTAAAATTTCTCGGAAAAATTATAATACTAAACCAAAAAAATACAATAGAAGACTATAAATTGTGTCGGATCAAACGATTGATTTGGTGTTTAGAAGCTGTACGAGATAACTTTTCATATCTAAAATTACGAACCGAATAAATACTCCGTATATATTACTCCCTCCGTTAACTATGCAGTGAAATACTTCCTTTTCCCCTCTTTTACAAAAATACTCCCACTTTCTATTATGAGTGTTTGTTTGTGCTTGGTCAAAACTACTTACAAACTGCCTTAAGTTATAAGTTAACAGATGATGTGTTTCTTTGTGCTTATAAGCTGACTTATTAGATGCTTGTAAATCAAAAAATAAGTATGTTTTCCCTACTTATTTTTAAGCTAGTTTTTCATTTCTCCATTTTAACCAGATTACTTACAGAATTATATCTCATCTATTATGAATATCCTAAAATGATTTATATATCATTTAAGTCATTTTATCTACACGAAATTTTTTAACTTATAAAGATCTAATAAGTTAAAAATCATTTTATAAATAATAAGTCAATAAATATCATCACAGAGAAACACTCCCAAAAACTTACTTTTATCCCTACTAATTCATATCATACTTATCACATTTGGGTTTCTCACTAATAATCTATTTATCACATTTTACTTTTACCCCATCACATTAAGAGCAAAATTAAAAAGTCAACTACAAGTATATACTTCTTAATGAGTATATTTCTCATTAGTCAAATTAAGAACCGTTTTAATGAACACCGAGAGCAATAATTATTTTCAATATATTGATCTTTTTATATTTCTTGATTAAGTAATAATTTATCGCTTTACAATTTTATATATATGATAAAGGAGAAAGGGATAGGGGGATTTAGAGAATTTTTTGAACGAAGAACCTTAGAGACCTCAATTTGACCGAGTGTTACAATATGACACTCAATCTTGGTGTCAATATAACTCGATCATTTTAGGGGGTTGTGCAATTTTTAGAGGAAAATTAAGGGGTTGTTTGGCGACTTCTGAATAGGTAAATGCTAAACCAATAAGAGATCTGAACCATTAAGTGCTGAACTAGTAAGAGATCTTAACCATTCAGACTCTGTATAATACTTAACCATTCAAAGGCAAATGTCTGAGTCATTCAGACATTTGAAGCATTAAGAGGCTGAAACAAACAGTCTGAACCATTAAGTGCTGAACCATTCAGACATCTGAATCATTAAGAGGCTGAAACAAACAGACCCTAAATATATAAGACAATTGTATCGAGTGTCAAAACAATCGAGCCGTTGTTAGCATATTGTATGAGACTACTTGGTTCTGGTTTAGGGCTCCATATGTTTGTTAAAATGCCTCAATGAATTTTTGCTATCAATCATGAGAATCTTGTTTGCTTTGTCTAGGGGCATTGCAATGAAAATAAGGGAAATGAAGTTTATGAACAAAACATCATCTAAACATTCTTTACAAGAAAATGAACAGAATAACAAAAACTTAACGAGCATTGAAACAAATGAACATTCATTAAAAAACCATTACAGTACAAAAATGTTGACCGACGTACGCCGTAGTTTGCCATGGTTTATCATACAAAACTGAGGCAAGATAATCTACAACAAATTCCCCTTGCGACCATGATGAAACAGAACCTGAACTTTGATTCAAAAGGACGTGTTTTTCACCAATGGCGCTTGTTAAGTGGTGCCCTTGATGAAATACATGCCGAAAAATAAGGCCAAGAGTGTGAGAAGATGACTGGAAACCTGCACAGAAACTCTCTTAACAGATGATGATGATGATGCTTTTGAATGGCTTGCTGTTCCATTGGTGGTAGTTGCAGAGGCAGCTTTGTTCCTGTTATGAATAAAGAACATAAAGAGACAATCTTTATAAACACGAAGAGAAAGATATATGCCGTGTTTGGTTAGGGCGCTTTTGCTGGTTTTACAATCACAATCACACTTTCTGTGTATATTGAACAAAACTGAAGAGAAACGAAAACTACCGAACTGAACTAAACTGAAAATAGGTCGGAAAAAAACATGCCGTCTATCCATTTGAATAGCTAATATAACATGAAAGTCAGATTTCAACATACCCAGTGGTCATGTAGAGACAGTTGTCATAGCCTGCAAACAAATACATAAAACATAAAAACATCATAGGAACTTCACTATGAAGGATCAATGAGTACTACATTTAAAATGCAGATGAACTTTCTCGTATCAATTCCTCCCTTAATAATCTTTCATGAACCTACAACCATAAGTTAAGTTTAGCTTATGGTTGAATTGGTTTTTTAACAACATGATGTAAAGAAAAAAAAGGTTGGAATATGAATGATTTTTAGTAGTATGCATACTTGGGTCTTGGTCCGTTCTAACACCGACTCCTCCAAAGCTGCAAGCATTGGCAGTGGTTCCGTGTTGTTGGTAGTAACTGTTGAACGCGTACGAAGCATGGGAAATCGGGTTGTCCGGTTGGTAACAAGGCTGGCTCGGTTGAATCGCCGAGCAATCCACATTGCCCGAACCACAAGCCCAAGCCAAAGCGTTCTTCAGGTCTGCGTCCGACGCGTTCGCCGAAGCAATGCACCACGACCCGTGGGCACCCGTGAGGTTCGCGCCCGTGCTCACGTCCACCACACCCCTCCCAGTAAAATCCAGGCTGTACACGCCCGTCTGGTCCGGGAAAAACACCCCCCAGTTCCTCTCAGAATCCAACCCTGGTTTCCTGTTCTCATTGAACAATGAAAAGATGTACGCGTCGATGCCCACCCCAGGCCTCCCTGGGGTGCCAGTATTGTTGATGACGTGCCGGATGAGGTTCGTGTTGTACGTCTGGGCATTATCCGGAGTCGCGGCGGTCTCCTTGGGCGACCCCTTGGAGGGCCACCCGGTTTCCGTCACCATGACGTTGATTGTCTTGAAATTCAAACCCACCAAAGCAAAGTTGATCGCGTCGATCTGGGCATCAAGCATGTTGGTGTAGAGCAAACCGGTGTTCGGGTCAATCACTTCCGAGGACGACTCGAAGAGGGCATAGTCAAGGGAGACATTGGTTGAGGAGTCTCTATAGGCATAGTAGGGGTAAACATCAACCATGAAAGGGGACCTGTTCTCTGCAAGGAACTCCAACAAGGGTTTCAGAAAGCCGGCGTGTTTACTGGCGAAAGCCCCAGCAGAAGGTGGGAACGACCGCGACAACACACCCAAGGAATGGGTAGTGGAAAGCTTGATCCTCTTGTGAAGGCCAGCTTTTCGGAGCGATGCCAGCACGTTTGTGAGTGCTGGGACAACCATGGCAGACACATTGGATGGGGCCTCAGTGACCTCGGCACCCACGGTAATGTGGGTGATTTTGGTCGCCGGGTAGTAGGGGAGGATGTTGTTTTTCAACCACGTGTCGGTGTTGGTTTGGAATTGGGAGAAGGGCAATAGGTCTGAGTTTGGGACACCAACCATGAGCTCTATCCCGGTGTTGGCAAAGGCTTTGATCACTTGGATGTTTGAGTCATATATCCTCACGTGTTTGATGTTGTGGTTCTGGATCAGCTGCACGGCTTTGTCTGGCGTGGGGAGATCGTCTCCGTTCCTTCCATAGCAAACCCCAATGTTGCTTCCTCTGCAGATGCCTATTCAAGAAAGTCAAGTTTGAAGGTTTTAAAGCACAAGTGAAATTCATAAGATTCTTGAAAAAAAAACCAATATTTTAAAAGGGATCCATTTTTTTTGACACCGAGGCTCTGTTAAGGTTGGGCTGGGGATGGGTCCACGGGTGGGCGGTGTTGGTAGCCCAGGGGGTACGACCTATCCCCATGCCTAACAGAGCAGTGTAGGTTAGTGGGACAGTGGTGGATGCGACTTAAGATTCATCAAACGTGTACCCGCTGGTACATATCCGTCTAATATTGCCCCGCCACCCATTCAAATTTTTCTCCATACTTTATGGTCGAAAACGTTGGCCAAAGAAAGTCAAAATAAGTAAGATACCAGATTTTAACGGAATACATGTTTTTAATTAATACGGAGTACGTGCTTCATAATAAGAAGTTCTCTATATATAATACCTAATTGACTAACTCTATGATATTAAGTTCGTGGTCCTCAACATTTGAGAACTATTCCATAATTACTCCTTCATGGACTATATGTGGAAACCAATATTTGGATCAAAGGACTGATTATGGAATAATTATCAAATATAGATAACCACGAAAGTTATATCTTAAAACTTAGGACCATATATGGAAAGCTACCTGTTATGATTTATGAAAGACCATTTATTAAATTTACTCTTAGCATTTTATTTGATTGTTAAAGTAAAATTTTTCTTTAAAAAATATTTAAACTTGTAAAGAATCATTGAATTTTCAAAAAAAAAAATCATTGATTATATCATTTGGTTTTTAAATAACTTGGTAGTTTACTACTTTATCAATGACTTCAGTCTTATATTTACATTATGCATTCATAACTTTTTATATTAATATTCAACATCTACAAGTATCTTTGAAATATTTTTAGTTAAAATGATCAATCAACTTAATAAAAGAACTATAATAATTTAGGTAACAAGTACGCAACTTCTAAA